CCTGGAAGCAAGGCGCTTCATGTGGGTGGCTGTCAGAATTATGATCCCTTTTGGGGTTTAGGGTTTAGGGTTTAGGGTTTAGGGTTATTAGGTGCCGTATTATAATAGGGATCCAAAAAGGGACCATAATTTTGACAACCACCCATGTGGTTGATTCAGAACTAAGACTGGCTGAGGGCACACTCCTGCCTCTTGCTGCCCAAACAAACCTTTAACAGTACCTGAGACCATCTGTCAGGGGCTGAAGTAGGTACCTTAAGGAGGAACTATGGGCTTACCAGTTTCCATGGGGTTACCCCAGCCCCCCACAACTTAAGCCGATCAAGAGTCACACGATTCGTCATCGGCTCTATATGCTGCGAGCTGAGTTAACCGGACCCCTAAACCCTAAACCCTAAACCCTAAACCCCCAAGGGAACGTTCAACCACCAGTCAGACTCTTGCGCGAAGAGGGTAAAAGGGGGCAGGGAGGTCGAGTTGTCGAGTGGTGGCTCGTTGACCCCACTAGCTCGTTGCTATAATACCCGAAACCCTAAACCCTAAAACCCTAAACCCTAAAGGCCCCCGCTTGGGTTCACCCAGTCGCCTATTTGGCCCACTAGCCCACTAGCCCAAGCGGCGATTGGGCTAAGGGTTTAGGGGGGTTAGGGTTTGGGGTTCAGGCTTCAGGGTTCAGGGTTCAGGGTTTAGGGTTTAGGGTTTAGGTTTAGGTTTAGGGTTAAGGCTTAGGGTTTAGGGTTAACTTACTAACAACAGGCAGCCATGTGAAACCCATGAAAACATGGACCTGCTATCCCCATAGATATGGCCCAACGATGAGGTTAACTAGGTTCACCTATGATCCAGCCAGTCATAGATAGACTGGGCATTTCCGAAAATACGCATACGCCTTTTACACCCCCTTATAGAATCGAACCCCCCCCCCCCTAAAAGGGGCCCCCTATGTGCGGAAACTCCCCACGTGGTTCGGCTTCACGTGTCAGTTGGCCTAAACCCGAAGCCCTAAACCCTAAACCCTAAACCCTAAACCCTAAACCCTAAACCCTAAACCCTAATTGGGCACGCAGGAGCTGTATCCCCAGCTGCCCAGATGCTTTGCACTCCGTGTTCGGAGGCGACGGAAATCGGGCTGCACAGATGCCGGACGACCCTATGAACGGCCTGAGCTCTCACACCAGGTCTTGTTCAAGAGGGTTTAGGGTTTCGGGTTTAGGGTTTAGGGTTTAGGGTTTGGGGTGTAGGGTTTAGGGTTTAGGGTTTCTAGTTTAGGGTTTAGGGTTTAGGGTCTAGGGTTTAGGGTTCAGGCTTTATTAGTTGCTGAGTTTGGGATGTTCCCCCTTTATCCCAACAGTCCTTGATAGGGATTATCTACAATCCCTATGAAGACTGGGGGAACAGTCATAAGCCGCAAAACCCCGGCTAGTTCTTAGTAGGGAATGAGGCAGTAAGGTACCCTCTATAATCCCTTAATTGGTATATGTGGGGATCTAAGTCCCTCGTTGCCTCAAAGAACCAGGGGGAAAAGTGTACACTTTCAGCTCTATAGGGGATTATAGTATCCCAAAAAGTGCAAAATATACCCATTCAGCTACCCCTAAACCCTAAACCCTAAACCCTAAACCCTAAACCCTAAACCCTAAACCCCTAAACCCCTAAACCCTGTACTCATTCAGCTACTAAGGTGAGCAACTGAGCAAGCTCGCGACTTCTGGAAATGACGCCGAAGTGAACTCGCTGCGGCGGAACAGAAAGTGGCAGCTGAGAGCAAGCAGCAACGACCATCTAAGTACGACATAAAGGAGCAGCGCAAACTTTAGCAAACCGTGCGAGCGTTAACACCCTAAACCCTAAACCCTAAACCCTAAACCCTAAACCGCAGCTGTTCACGAGTAGGGCCTTCTAAGCCGACTCTACGCTGGACCCCGAAGTTTGTACACTTGGGCTTGGGGAGCTTGTTTAACAGTAATCTAATCAAGGGTCTTCTTCCCCTATTGAACCCCTACATATACCTCATATAGGCCCTATATACCTAAGTAGCCCCTAAAGAACCCCAAGTAACCCGTAAGGTCCCTTATAGGGTCCCTCGTTTAGTCCCTTGATCTAAGGGAATATAAGGGCCACATTGGGAGCATATTACGGGAACCTCTGGCGGGGGGGGACATCCGCCGAGCTGCGAGTATGACTTCCTTGATAAGCCCACAACCGAAAACCCTAAACTAGTGTTTAGGGTTTAGGGTTTAGGGTTTAGGGTTTAGGGTTTAGGGTTTACGGTTTAGGGTTTAGGGTTTAGGGTTTAGGGTTTAGGGTTTAGGGTTTAGGGTTTAGGGTTTAGGGTTTAGGGTTTAGGGTTTAGGGCTCAGGGTTTAGGGTTCAGGGTTCAGGGTTCACGGTTCAGGGTTTAGACCCCAAACCTACACCCCAAAACCCTGACCCCACTTAGGGCTAGGGCTTCGGAGCATTAACCCTAAACCCTAAACCCTGAACCCTGAACCCTAAACCCTAAACCCTAAACCCTAAACCCTAAACCCGGAGTACTTACGCCCCTAAAACCCTCAACTCGAAGCCTACACCTTCTCACTCACACGCCATGTTCGAGTTGAGAGCTTATGGTGACGGTCTAGGGTTCAAGGGTTAGGGTTTTAGAGACCAAAGGTCTAGGGTCTAGCGTTTAGGGTTTGGGATTAGGAGTTTAGAGATTAAGGCTTTGTAAGGATTTAGGTTTTAGGGTCTAGGGTTCTGGGTTTAGGGTTACGAACCTTTAGAATGCTGCACGTTTGGCCCTCTCGCGGCAACGGGTGGAGCTGCGTCTGGGAACTGGGGTCACCAGGTGCACTGATGGTACATGCCCTTGAGCCCTACGACTTTCAACCTAAACACTCCACTTAGAGTTAGGGTTTTAGGGCTTAGGGTTCAGGGTTGAGGGTTGAGGGTTGAGGGTTGAGGGTTGAGGGTTGAGGGTTGAGGTTTGAGGGTTGAGGATTGAGGATTGAGGGCTTTAAGGTCCTCCTTAGGGTTTAGGGGTTTGCATGGGCTCTGGGGTCCTTACGGGAGGAAGGGTTCTCGGGGGGTGGGTACCTAGGGAACCTTAGGGAAGCTTGGGGAGCCTTAGGGAGTCGGGGGGGCTCTTCAAGCCCGTAAACCCTAAACTACTTGTACTACACCATAGAAACCTAAGCCACAAAAGCGTTTGGGGTTTAGGGTTTAGGGTTTAGGATTTAGGGTTTCGGGTTTAGGGTTTAGGGTTTGGGGTTTAGGGTTTAGGGTTTAGGGTTTAGGGTTTAGGGTTTAGGGTTTAGGATTTAGGGTGGGTCGTCATTTAGGCTCCTGGGCAGCATCCTACCAGACCCAGCGCAGCTCCCTAAGCAAGCGACTGGAGAGTCTACATGTCTTGCATGTGTGATGCTAACCTGATATTGAACACCCCCAAAAATTTAGGGTTTAGGGTTTAGGGTTTAGGGTTTAGGGTTTAGGGTTTAGGTTTTAGGGTTTAGGGGAACTAAGGTGGTTTTTAAAAAGATAGCAAGCGGGGTGACTCCCTTCTGCGGCCTGTCCAAATCGGCTCGCGCAGACCAGTGCAAAGAGGCACTATTGCCTCCTCCAACCCTCAGGCGCTCTTGAAATTCGGGCGGCCATCTGGGTAATTTCCCAAAATAGGGGTACCCCTTCTTTGACCCCAAATAGGACAGAGTACCCTTCTAAAGGGACCCTTAGAAGGGGCACCCCCCAATTTTTTCGGAAACCCCCATCTGCCGCGGCCGACCCTACCGCCCTGGCACTCCCGAGTGCCTGGTGACCGAACATCAGTCTTGCACAAGCAGGGGCCTCGGAGGCGGACGCGTACCTCAGTGGCTTCGGCGTGCGCACGACAGAGTCCAAGAATCTCTTTACTCAAGGGCCCCGAATGACATGAAATAGTAAGAGCAAGAAAAGCAGCACAAGCTAGAATGGCGAACCCCAAACCCTCAAATACATCTATGCATGTCAGGGAGGGCGTTCAGGGTTTGGGATTGAGGGGGGGGCTTTCCTTAAGCGAGACCCAAGGAGAAACTAGGAACAAATGGGGTGCCCTTTTTTGGCCTTGAAGGGGCCTCATAAGGGAACCTTGAACCCTAAAAAAAGGCAATAAGGGCCTACTCTGGGTCCTAGCCCCAAACCCCAAACCCTGAACCCCTAAGAAAGGCAATAGGGGCCTACTCTGGGTCCTAGAAAGGGTTTAGAGTTGAGGTTTTTATCGGCAACTTAAATGTGAATGATGGGGCCCTAAGCCCGAGCTTACTGCGGCTCTAGGGTTCAGGGTTTGGGATTTAGGGATTAGGGATTAGGGTTTAGGGTTTAGGGTTTAGGGTTGAGGGTTTAGGGTTTAGGGTTTAGGGTTTAGGTTTAGGGCTTAAACGACCCCTAATACAAACATAAAGAGTCTAGGGCCTGGGGCTTGGGGATGTCAAGAAGGACTACATGAGATACAATGACCTTTCAAGGTTTTTCAGGCGTACCCCAAACCCTAAACCCTAAACCCTAAACTGTAAACCCTAAGCCCTAAACCCTAAACCCTAAACCCTCAACCAGGCCATCGCCGGGGGCGCCACGAATTCAGCCACCCATGCACAAGTTTTCATTGCTGGGCAGCATGGACACCTGCGACAGTCCCAAAAGGGCTTAGGGTTTAGGGTTTAGGGTGTAGGGTTTAGGATTTAGGGGTTTAGGGTGCAATTTGCGGGGCTCAGGGTTACCCTACCCCCTGAACCCTGAACGCCTACAGCCCAAGACACGTTAGGGTCTTCGGGGGCCCTAAATCCTTGTGTAGACCAACATCCGAAGTCCTAAACCCCTAAACCCTAAACCCTAAACCCTAAACCCTAAACCCTGAAGCACACCAGGGTGGAGGGTTTCGGTTTCGTTTGTGAGCTCGATCATGGCTCTGAGTGCGGATGCACTCGTGACATTGGGGGCGGCCAACGTCGTGAACATAATTAGCCTCTTTTTTCGAATGTGCGGAAAAATCACCTGTTTCGCATGTGCATAGCAATACTTATGCCGGCAAATTATGGCATTGACTCTTGCTGCCCCTCAACAAATCTCCCTCCCCCCTAATATTAAGCCCGCCCTACCCCGTAGCACTAAATCCAGCAAATTTAAACATAGTTGTAGCGTATTTGGAATATCTAATATTCGGGGATAGCGGGGGGCGCGGTTAATCATTAGTGGGAAAGGGATGAGTTGTTCATCAACTCACTTCGCACCCTCTTCCCAGCCGCATGCTCAGAAGACTTGCCTGCGCAGACACGAGCCGAGCCTGCGTTTAATGTTCAAGCGTTGGCAAAGTAAGTGTGCGCCAACCGGAATGATCTCTGCGTGTGTGTCCACCCTAAACCCTAAACCCTAAACCCTAAACCCTAAACCCTAAACCCTAAACCCTGAACCCTAAAACCAGCTGCGGCTGAGGGATACCAAGCCCCTTGAAAGCTGCTTATTAGGGTTTCGGGTCTAGGGCTTAGGGTGTAGGGTTTTCGGGTTTAGGGTGTAGGAAGCAAGGCTTGGGTTTAGGGTTTAGGGTTTAGGGTTTAGGGTTTAGGGTTTAGGGTTTAGTTTAGGGTTTAGGGTTTAGGGTTTAGGGTTTAGGGTTTAGGGTTTAGGGTTTAGGGTTTAGGGTTAGGGTTTAGGGTTTAGGGTTTAGGGTTTACGGTTTAGGGTTTATAGTTTGGGAAATCCACCAATGCAATCCGTTAAGCCATGAAACACAGGCGCACTTCTACCTTTTGTCTCAGAGGGCTTGAGTGCGATAGGTGCAACATACATGAAGGCAAAAGTGGCAAGGAGGTCCGAATATAAAATACACCCCCCTCGTCGAAGCGTGAAATGCTGAGGCGCTGTCAACGAAGCCACGGCGAACACAGTTTGTGCCGCACTGCCTTTTCTACTGCATGTTCAGAGCACTGTAGCCCGAGGTGTGAATTCCGAAAACACACCGCCGATCACCGCGCACCGACTTCAAAAATATTCCGGCCAGCCCTAAGAGGCGGCGTATTCTTTGTTTGGTTCCGTTTGTTGGAACGTCGGCGGGGATACAGACACGGTATGAGCAAACACTGCAAAACACAACGCGTGCCGCAAAAGAGGAAAACATGGCGATGGCAAACGTGTTGTGCAAACGCAAAATGTGGAAAATTACCACCTGCGGCTATGATCATAGCGCCATGGAGTGTGGCGATCTTGCTGCCAGCTGCTCCAGTCCCATTCGGACCACCGATTCTCAGAGCGCCAGTCTCCCGACCACCAAGTTCCGTGGTCAGACCAGCCCCACGTTGAGGACGACCATACATCGGCCTCCTCATGGCGAGGGGCGTTGCGCTCCTGCTGCCGGGCACGACGCTCATCCGCGAGCCTTTGTGCTGCACGTGAGGCCTCGGCGTCATCTTTCATCTGGCCAACCAATGTTCTCGCTGCGGAATGGTTGTGACGAACCACCGCCTTTAGGAAGACCTTGATGTCGCCGGCCTCAGTCGCATGTGGGAGCTCAATGGTGCCTTCGCAGAAGGTAAGGATATGGCTCACCCCCCTCGTAAAGAAGGCGACGCGAGAGAAATCCTCAACACCATAGAAGCTACCAAGCCAGGCAAAACCGATGGGCTCCTCCTGGTCATTCGACAATAATCCGGCCTGGATGAGATCACCGGCGGGCTTGTCGAAGTACACCATGCGGCAAAGTGCTGTGTGGTCCACTTGGCTTGCTTCCAAACGACGGCTCGATCCGTAACCCAATGCTCTCTGTTCACGATTGCGGCCAGGATTCGGGAGATAAGCGAAAGCAACGCACTCCTGAATTGACAACAACCGGCGTGTCCATCCATTTCGGACCGCGTAAATGGCATAGTTGTGGTCAGAATCGAACTTGTCGAGCATGCCAGAGTGTCCTTGGCCGCGGAAGTGCTTAAGGCTTTGCTTTGCTTGAGCAATAGCCTTTCCATCGACAGACTGAGCGCCGCGGTTGTCGTGCTGTCCTGAGCCCCGGCGTACCTGGTCAGCTGTCAGCTGCCAGAGCCGGTAGCCAGTTTCCTGGGCGATCTGGTCGAGGACGTCGTTGCGCTTGCGGCTCATAAACATGCGGAACGTTGACTGCCTGCTTCCTTTGGTCAAGAAGCAGCCACAATGGAAGCAACGATGCTGCCCTTCCAAACGCAGGTTGCCGCAATGATCGCACTGGATGCGGGTCAGGCTCCCGGCGCGCTGAGTACCAGCCGCTTGACCAGAGGATGCTGCACCCACATCTGCATCGTCACCAGCGACGATCTCGATATATCCAGCAGTCGACCTAGTAGGTGAAATCTCCTGGATGTCAATGTCGGTGTTGAACGTCACCCTCGGGCCTTCGGGAACGTCTTCGTCTGTACCCAAAGCATCCGCCGCAACTGGGAGCTCGACCTTGATGATTGGCTTGATCGCAACGTCTTCAGGCTCCTCGTCCTCGAGCTCGTAGATGACCTCCACGGTATCTTGTGGTTCGTCTCCACCGGCGGGCAGAGTAAAACCGGCCTCCTCAGATTGAGGGGCATCAGTTTCCTCGACTCTGCTCCAGATGACAGTGTCAGACGCCGTGTCCCGTATGTACAGCACGCAGCTGCCAGGGACCGACTGACTGGTGAGCACACCTTCTAATCTGGAGTAAAAGAGCCCCACTCCAAGTCGGAGAGCCTCACGTGTGTCAACCACAAGCTCGAAAGGTCGATCGGCACGTACACCAGCACGATTTTCGTGATGTCCGACTTCGCGATCAGAAAAGTAAACGTGGGCGTTGGCTGTTCGGTAGCCGGGGTAGAAGGCTGATTGCACAATCTTGAAGGCGCGGTCCTTGAACGTTCTGTGGTAGAGACGTTTGGGAGTCTCTTCCCAGCAAAGGACCGGCCTACCTTCGAAGGTGGCGTCGTGGTCACTCATCTCATTCTTCGGGATACACGACAGCCAGCAGTCGCAAATTTGCTCGTCGGACGCAGTCTCCATCAAACCTTTTGAATGCCCCTGCCTAGCCCGTATAAGCACAGGGTATCCGGCCAGACCATAGTAGTCGGCGAGTTGATGGTTCCTGTCGGCCTTGAGCTCAAAGCGACCCTTGTTGTCGTTCTTCACCATGGACAACAAGATGCCAAGACCGTAGCTGGTGCCGCAATCATTGTTCACACGATCGAGAACATCACGGGTCCGACACCAAAGCTCCGAGTCGTGCATGTCGTCGTAGATTTTGCCTCTAACGACCCCGGTCACATAGTTCCGAGTCCCACGCGGAATTGGCACAGTGGAAAAATTGGGGAGATCCTCAGGGGACAGGATGACCCAGTCGGCCTCATCATCGGATGGGCGTTGTGCGATCGTGTCCCAGTCGAGGCCCAACATGTCGACGAGCTGGAAGTCATCGGACACCCTGAGGTATCCTGTGGGGATAACTTCGTCGCCGCTTCCACTGGTCTTCGCCTTCTTCGGCTGTGATGGCCCAATCTCTGCGGCTGCGGCTGAAGAAGATGCAGACGATGCTTTGTCGAACACCTCGCCGCGCCCAAGCAAACGTTGCTTGGTTGCCTCAGGGTCCCGGTTTGTTGCAGCCCGCGATGCAGCGATGACGGCCTCCCCAGGGCGGGGGGCGTTGTCGACTGCTTCTTGCTGGCTAGCCTCGAATTGAGACCTTGGGACGTATTCGCCGCTTTCCAATCGGACCATGTTGGGGAACTCGCGGTCCTGCAGGCGGATTGGTGCCCCAGATGGGAAGCTCTCCGCCGGGCCATCAAAATAGACGTCGTCCCACGGATCGGCCTCGACCAGTGGCTGGTAGACCTCTCTTGCCCTCGTCCTCTGCAGCCTCTTGAAGATCTGGTCGTCAATCTGCGCGCCCACGGCGAACCGAGCATTCGGTCGCGGGACGTGCTGGTAATTCACCAGTGTGCGATCCAGGTCCTCAGTGCGGAAGAACGAGCATTGATGGCGCAGCACCATGATTCGAGCCGTGGCTCCAATCCACCGAAGCAGTTGCCGTCGATGATTGGTGTCCTCAAGGAAGTGATATGAGTCGTACTTCCTGATTTGGGTTGCAGGCACATTGAAGTTTTTCACGGCCAGCCCAATCTGGGCGGCATAGTCAAGGATCTCCTCCATCAAAGTGCCCCACTCTCTCGGGAGAGTAGGCCTTGTGGTCCGTCGCAGAGGTGAGAAGGACGGTACCAACGTGGGGGCGCTTCTGGAGTTCCTTGAGCTTATGCAACTCACGCAGAATTTTGGGGCCTATGAAGCTCCACTGTCCTTGCGCGACGTGCGGCTTTCCCCTCCAATGCTCTGTTGAAGGTTTATAGTTCGGATCCAAGAACAGCCCCTTTTCGCCCACAAGTTCATTTGCGTTCCAGACGATCATCACATCCACCGACAAGGTCTTGTCGATTGCACCAGCCCTCTCCCACATGTTGATCTTGTCAACGGCGAGCTGTACCAGCCGCGTGAGATTGGACCCCCATGACGGAATGTACTCGACTCCTTGAAAGTCGGGAAACACATTGGTGCGGTTGACGGTGATGTCGGCGTGCAAATCGGTCTTGTAGTTCCCCTCAGTCAGGAAAGTGGTAGACGAGTCAGCAACGATGATCAATGAGCGCAAGCGGCCACGAATGTGTTCGGGCTGGAGCATGGCAAGGCCTTGATCACTAAGTAAGCCGACTTTTGCCACATTCCCGCATTCCGCGGGGTTCTTGAAGGCAAATTCACAAAGTACAGGACGCGGCACATATTTGTAAAACTCGTTCACGGCGTGCTCGCCGTCCTCCAGTGCTGCCATGGTCCGATATTCCGAACAAAGAGCGGTCTCAGTGAGACGACGTGCCCACCAGCTGAAAAGCACCTCCGTTGGTGCAACGATGCCAGCGGTGGTTCGCTCCATGTTCGGCGAGCAGTGGACTGCCGCGATGGCGCAGCAGGCAACTAAGGTGTTTGTAGTCCCAAAATCACACGTGCTAGTTTCGGTGCGAGTCTGCAACAAAATGTTGATAGCACATGCGGAATGTTTCGAAAGACTGTCACAAAACACTTTCCAGTCATGGTGAATGCAATCGGTCATGACGTAGGTGTAGCTCTCAGAGTTCCTAAGGTCCTTGCCCCTAGACTCTCCGTGTTTGTGATTGTGATCACACCTGTGAGCTGCCAGCCGCTGCATTGGAACAGAGGATGCAACGATCCATGCCTTCCTTAGTGGGAGTCCTTGGTGATCCAAGATCCCTAGCATGCATCCGTCACAACGATATAGCTCAAGATCGTAATCCTGAATCAGCTTTTGCACTTCACCCCACTTCCAATAATCACACTCTTTCGGGAGCTCAAAAGCAACCTGTGGTTTGAAAGTTTTCATTCTGCGCAAGAGAGACCTAAGCTGTTTCAACAGTTCAATGAACAAGCTTTGGTGTTGCTGCCATTTGGGGCTGTTAGGAGTCATTCTGTTCCACGGACAACCACCCGTACACGGAAGCGACGCAAACACGAGAATCGGCTTAAATGCTCCCCCCTCGTCGCAGAGGGTATGGATTTGGGAAACAACCGACTTCAGCGTAGAGTCCTTAAGGGCGTTTTGTTGGTTCGTAACACGAATGATCTTACAACCCTGAGCAGCCGGACGCGCTTCACCCAAGCGACTATCGGGCGAACAACAAAATTCAACGATGATTCGTTTGCAGCCCGACGGCCTCGAGAGATCTCGGGCAGGCGAAGCGGTGACGGCCGGCGCAGGCAGCCTGAAGTGGAGTTCTTTGAGTTTGTCTGTCTCGTCACTAGCAAGTGATTCTTGCGAGCGCGAGGAGTAAGCGACAATGGAAAAACGGGTTCCAGTAAAAGGCAAAACGCAGTGCAAGTTTCGGGGGTTAAAGACGAGAGCTTTGTTGTATGTGGACACAGCACGTCCTTTAAGGTGCTTGCCGTTGGGGCCAACTCTGACAATGGCGCTATCAGATGAAACACTAGGGTCCTCCAACCACAACTCTCCACCTTTAAAATCCCCAACACTGAGTGCGAAGCTCATGCTATCCTTAGCATTCCCGTGGTCCTTGTGCACAGAGGCACCAGTGCTGCTGCTGAGCAACACGGAGTTCCAGGTGAAGTCTTTCGGAGCATGTGCTTGCACTACGCCGTTTAGGAATCGGGCAATCTGAGGCCACCGGCGGGTTGCCTTAGTCACCCCTTGCATGCCCCCGTAAGTCCATTGCCCAAAGATATGGTAGTAGCTGCGATTGTCAAGCTTAATCATCTTTCGCTTGGTTTTGTTTGGGTACATGATCTGGGCTACACGCAACAAAGCCTTAGTGCTGAAATCACGGTCCTTGGTGAGCCCAGCTGCGATTGCGCAAGGATCGTCCAACGGCTTCACCACAGGGTGAGCATGAACGACTGGCTTGTTGATGAGATGAGCATCGGACTCGTGTGCCTTAGACTGGCGCCCCCCCTGAAGTGGGGCATCAACGTGCGCGATGAGCCTAAGGGCATGTTCCCATTTACCTCGGTCAGCGAAAGGTTTAGTAAAGATATCAGCTACTTGCTCTTTGGTGTCAACATTAATCATGTCGAAAAAGTTACGCTCGAATTGCTGTTTGATCCAGGCGAACGAAATGCGCTGAGTCCGGTCGGTGTGTCGTAGTTTTTCGCTGTCACCTTTGAGGAGGATAGTTATGGTAGCTTGGTTGTCCTCAAGGAGTTGAACGGCAAACTTGGGACTAAGATGAACCCTGAGGCCGTTTAAATCAGAAACGCTTCGTCCATCCGCCCTGCACTCGCCATACCGGATCTCATCAAGTTCAGGATCAATTCGTGCGATGACGTCGTCTTCCCTTTGACTGGGCTTGGTTTTCGGCCTAGCTTGGTAGCTGGCGGTCCTACTCGCAACCTCACGCCACAGGAAAATCCAAAGACTGAGGCTGGGCAGACCTTGGGCACGAATACCTTGGTTGGCAGCCACAACCTCACTCTCCGTGCTTGAAGTGGTGATGCTGGTCTGTTTCTTGGAAAAAGCATTTAAGGGAAAGTAAGTGTTGGGGCCTACCAAGTAAAGGGCACAGCCTGAAGTGGATTTACTGTCGTGGCTACCAGCGTGGTCAGCATCGCAGAACATCCACAACTTACAATCCTGAATGCGATCCCCAATGAATCCCCTCATCCGAACTTCAAGAGAAGAGTTTATGTAACTGATCAACCTGTGCAAAGCAACGTCACAGTCGCGAGACCACTTGGTAACTCTGGATGCAAGTGCCTGAGTGGCGCGTAACAAGTCCCACCTGGCCATTCTCGCAGCGAACAAAATCTTCATGAGTACACGGCTAGCAATGGGTTGCAGCTTACCACTAGGTTCATTGCTCTCCAAAACCTTTGCTACTCGATTCTCATGAAAAGGAGTCGCTACGTGCTTCAGGGATTTCTTGTCAACCTTGGCCAACTCACAGTACCTATCAACACAGGACACCAAGAAATCTCGCATGTCGTAGTACACAACGTTCACGGGCACGGTCATGGAAGGGGTTTTTCCCTGGCTGATAGATTCAGTGCTCTTGAACTTACTCTGTCGTGCTTCTCGTTTAGCTTCGGCTTTGGACCGCTTGGGCTTATAGCGCTTAGCTGCGAGAGCGTGAGAAAAATCCTCGTCACTGACCTCAGCGATAGGGAAATATGTTTTCCCAGTCCACCAACCTGATTGGTCCGCGGGGCCCCCCTGATTCAAGTCATCATGGAGAGGGTCCCTACCATCATCAAACACCGTGATTCGTTGACAGCTTATGTGGGGAAACTTCGACACGTCGTCCTGCGTAGGTACATAAAGTTTCCTACGAGGATAGATATGATGCCTAACGACTGCAGCTAACTCAGTGTCGACCTCCCAAAAGTCCTCTTTGCGGTTCGGCCGGACTTGGTAGTCGGCAGCGGGGCTAGCGTGCTTCTTGTCGAAGACGTAAGCGAATGGGTGGTCCTCCCGTGAAAGCTGGACCTGATTTTGCTCAACGTGATGACACCCGAAGTACCGTCCCAAGACCTCGGCTGGTTCCATGTCAATCACCTTAGCGATTAACTCCCAACCCTTGTTGATTTTGTCTTGGGGGCCGGCCATCTTGAAGTCATCAACGTATACAACAAGCAACAAATCTAGTTCAGCATGGTAGAATACAGAATGCCAAATGTCGGGTAGAACAGCAGTAAAACCAACACTCTCTAACTGTTCGGTACAGTACCTTTCCCAGATACCGCCTGAGTCAGGGTGGCCGTACAAAGCGAGCCTGAGTGGGCAAACGGGATCTTCATACCCAGACCATTCTTTTGGCCATCTGTTTCGAGGAAGACGGACCCACGTTTCGATTCCTTTAAAAAGGGCTTGTGTATATGCAGCAATGCCATCAGCCTGCTGTTTCACGTATCCGGGTTGGCTACCAAACACATCGATGATTTTCCCGGCCTCCATACTAGCGGGGCTTGATCCTAGTTCGGCGAAAATGGCGTGATCGTGGTTTTCGTCCTGGACGTTGTTGCCCTGGAAAACACTACGACCCTTCCATTTCTTCTGGGGGTGCCCGTCCGGGAGTTCATCCCCCTTGACCGAACAAATCTCAAAGATTTTCCCGAAATGAGCCTTGACATTCTTGTGTTTGGCTTCAGCTGCAACATCCCGGTACTCTCGAACCTTCTTTTCGAGCCAGCAAGACTTATCGGCAAGCTTCTTCCATTCTCGGTCCATGGCTTCTTTAGCAGCGGGGGTACTTTCGATCTCTTTAGGCCCGACAACCCTGGCAACCACAGCAAACATCTCACTCGCAACCTGACCAAGCTTGGCCCAGTACAAAGACGCCATGCGATCTCTATGGGGCTCAGGATCAGGTTCGGTGACGACAGGCATGGCCGGGGAATCTCTGAGGGCCTTGCGAGCATCCTCCTCGGCTTCACGAGCCTTTTTACGTTCGAATCTTTCAATGTCAGCCTCCCGTTGTGCCTTGGAATACATGTGCCAAAATTCCGAAGGTGTATCAGGTGGCCTTTTGGAACCTTTCTTATCCCTAACCAATCTCACCCCGTCCCAGTTGTACCCTTTTGGGACTTTCCTCCCATCAGGCATGGTCTTGGGGTCATGTCTTGGTAGGATAGATGAGGCTTCGGGCCCGGTCGTTGCTTCTTTAGAAGATCCAGGAGCATCCCCCCCCAGCCAGTCCTCCACAGCTCCGACATCTTCAGGAACATAGTCCTCGTTTTCCTTAGCGACTTGGTCCAAGTACTCGGACAAACGATCCTTCAAATCGGAGCCGTCCAAATCAGGCACACCGGGCGGAGGCAAAGGCTCGTCCGGCGAATCCCCAGGCGGGGCGCGTGGTCCGGCACCATCTGTGCCTCCCCACGAGCAGTCCTGATCTGAGAGGGTCGGCTTGCGGAGGCTCTCCTGCAGTGCAAGCTGCTCTGACCTCATTGGGAACGTAAAGTCCCCAGGCAACAACTCCATCCGCTTGGACCTCAGAATGGGGAAATTTCCAATCTCGAACGCAAAGTCGCAGCCCTTGACAGGAGTGACAAGATATTCCTCCTTCCAAATGAAGCCAGGCTGAACGTGATAACCAAGAAAGATTCCCTCAACACCAGTCGGCGCAAACTTAGAGTCCGCAGGAATGTTCTGTTTGGGGTTGTTCCAGTACAACACACGTGCACCAAAAGGAATCATTAACCCTAAAAAGGGTTCCCCATACCTGGCCTCCCAGGGAACAATTCCATTGTCAAACCTCTTTGTGGCGTTAAGGGCCATAGCATGGTGTTGGGCGGCCAACGGCCAAAGCTTGTCGGGGAGACCCGCCTGAACAAGGTTGGAGCGGGTACCCTCCAAAATCGTCCGAATTTCTCTTTCGATTACCGACTTGTTGGTGTCCACATATTCACGGGATGTAACATGTCGAACACCCAGGCTTTTGATAGCTGCATGAAGCTCAGGTGCGTTGTCGGAGTAGAAAACCCCAACTGTGTCTTCTTGACCTAGGAAATGAAGAAGGTCTTCATAACACTGATCGCTTGACTTAGTCGGAGAGGGGTAGACGTAACGAAATTTGGTGAACACGTCCTTAACAACAAGTGCGACCCTTTCGTCCTGGAACCCATGATCACGAAGGTCACGAGTGATGATATGGTCAACAGTGATGTGGTCCCCAAAGGCCTTTGATACAATGGTACTTGAGCCCCCATTTTTGCGGGCTTGGGGAGCCAACATCTTTGCGCGCTGGCATACCTCGCAGAACGGATTCTTGGGCCTGTGCGAGAACAAGTGCTCAACAGATTTGGCTTCAGCTTTCAGATCGGCCTCTGCAAGACTGCGGGCGTTTCCTTCGTTGTCACTGTCGGGTTCAACATCGGGGTCTTCGAAGATAGTGAGGCTCAGGATTGGGTTACCCTCCAGTCGGGCAACTTTGTTGTCAAGCTCCCTGACGTTCACTTTATCCTCAACCTTGACCCAAGAACCTTCCCTGAACAACCAAGTAGATCTGACTTCGCATCTTGGAAACCTTGGTGTGGCAGTACGAAACGTCTTTGGTTTGTGTCCGACAATCAAGTACTTAGTATTTGGGTGCGAAACCCAACCTGGTCTTTTGAGCTTTTCTTTGGGAATGTCTATTGGCGGCACCTCATTGATGGCTGCTGAGATCTCAGGATCGGGGTGCTCGACCACTGGATCTCGGTCCTCTGCTGCTCCTGCGAAAGCCTCGGCCGGCCCTATTGGGCGGCAGATTTCTGAAAACCCTCGGACAGAATTGGCCGTCCGAGAGATCCTGAGGCTTCTTCGTTGGTACTTGGGGCGGCCATTGCTCCTCCCCCAAGGACAGGCACCATACCTCTCATTCTACACCTTAGTCTTTGACCATTGGGCGCAACGAAGTAAGGCGGCTTTTTGGGGTACCAATGGAACTCATAACCGTCCTCCATGCACCTTCTTCCAACAGAGCAAACAGGAGGAGTACTTGCGAGAACGTAGAACTCTAGCTCTTTGCCAAACTCCGGGAAGTCGATCCTGACCGATTTGTCACCCTTGACATTTCCGTTAGCAGTGATGAGGTTTACTTGTCGAGTAGCATTGCCTATCGGTTCTTCGCCAAAGTACATAGCACGATCAGCTTCGCTGATGAGATCCTCCTCGCTCCCCGTATCAGCAAGGAATTCTAAGGGCGTGGCGATTCCTGGACAGGCGATCTCTGAGCTCTCAACGACGTGCTTGCACATCCCACACATGAGAGAATCAGGCTCATCACATTCTAAACGGCAGTCGGTTCTCTCTCCCCCCTCATGCCGGGCAAGGAGCATAGTGAGTTCCCTTGCGTTCCTAATTGCAACCTGAAGGTCATTGTTGTCAGGTTTGGGGCAATTTTCCGCATCGGCATAGCAAGTGTTGTACCTGCGAACTTTGTAGGAATGCTTGTACCCCTTCCCTTCAAAAGGGATTTCCCTGACTTTGGGCTTTTCACAAAACTTGACCTTCTTGTTTTGTTCTTTGATTTTGAACACAGTCTTGCCAGTCCATGGCGTCTTGTCGTTCGTCCCCCCTTTTCCCCCTTTCCAATCCCAACTCACCTTTGCAATGTAGGGAGCAACGGGAAGAGTCTTGATCACCTTGGCCGTACCTTTCAACTTTTCAAGAGCAACAGGGCATGACATTTCAGGCTTGTACATAGTACTTCTGTAGTTCAGGTGATGTCGAATGGCTTCACCCCTTTTGAAATCCACTTCCCAGTAGTCCTTCTCTCCATCTTGTGGGTCATCTCCCTCGGGACGGATTGAGGCTGCAGCCGCAATCGAGATGCAGCATGCGGCTCTCCTGTCCTTCTCCTTAGAGCGACCACGGCTTGGCTTTCTGCGCATTGGCGCAGGCGATGGAGACCTAGGTTTGTCTGGGTCCTTAGGAGCCGGGGCTGCGTTTTCACCACCTGTGGGAGCGGGGCTCGGTTCCCTATGCAAGAAACGGCACTTGTCTCCCCTGGTACATTTGCCTTTCTTCCAAAACGTGCATACCTGCTTTTTCTTCGGGGCGGTGCGAACAGGGGACTGCGAGCGTGGTTTGTGCGAGAACTTGCACTTGTCGCCCCTGGTACACTTACCCTTTTGAAAGTCGTAGCAAACTGGCTTTGGGCTTGGTGAACGGCTAGGTGATCTAGACCTGGACGGGGTCCTAGAGCGAGATCTTGACTTCGAGTTGGATTGGCTACCGGCAGAGCGATCTCTTCCCCGGCCACTCCTTGACGGAGGGCGTTGCGGCCTTCCGCCTTCAAGAACAGGAGCTCCAAACTTGTCCCCATGTGACTTAGCGATTCTATCCCTATTCTTGCGCATCCTTTCACGGGTTAGCAAATCCCGAATGGACTTCAACAAGAACGCGTAGGAATGTGAGGCAGAACCTTCCTTGGCCCTATCATAGATCTCCAAGTCGTATTTCATCCTTGAGGACTTGCGGATCTGGCGGAGAAGGATGTCACGCAGAACCATTTCTTCTGGAACATGACTCATACCGGCAATGACTGACTCCCAGTTGTGCAGGAATGTAGTCAAGTCGTCACTATGCAGTGTAACCTTCAAAAGGTCTTCTACTGAATAGAGCGACCCTACTTCTTCATTGGTTTTGAAGTACTGATCAAACATAAGCAACACCTGGCGTCCTCGTACCGCACGTCCATGGACCGCCTCGGTTTCCTTGAAGGTGAGCACCTGTCGAGATAACTCTCCCTTGGCGACCTTGGTAAGCGCGGCTAGGATTTTGGTATCCAGCGTGAGGAACTTTCCTGGTTCACGGAGCTTGTCATGATCAGCATCCTTCGCGTAAACCTCTAAAATCCAAGAGAAAGCTTCGTCTGGTCTGTCTGAGGCTGCCCTAACCGCTTCCCGAGTTGCTGTTTTCCACGCACGATACGTTTCGGGGTTGGGGAAGTCCGGCAAACGGATGTTCTCAGCCTCTTTGACCTTTGGCTTGTCATCTTCGCCGCCTTTATCTCCCTTGAGGAGTTTGGCGGCTTCCAGCAACGCTTGTTGCGTCTGTGCGATTAAATCAACTCCAGTGGCTGCCGGACTAGCCGGCGTGCCCATTGGGGCCGCGAGACCAGACACTCCTCCGCCTAAGCCAGTCGGGGGCACAGGGGTTCCCGGGGCTTGTGTTGGAGCTTGTGGCCCCGCTGGTGTGGCAGTAGTTGCCGCACCACCAAAACCGGAAAACATTGCTCTTAGGCTGAGCGGGATCACGCTTGGCGATGAAAACTGAGGAGCTGTCGGCACATTGAGGCCGGCACTTTGCGGTACCGTTGCTGGGGTCACGGCCGGAGGGAACTGAGCTTGGGACGCAGTGTCCTGAGAAGCATTCCTGTCCTGCTCGAGTTTGAGCGCACGCTCAGCTGAGGAGAGTTCGTCCTGAAGAACATCATTTTGACGCCTCATTTCCTCTTCACTCTCGCGGGCAAGCAACCTATACTGCTGCATTGCTTGGTCATGTTCCCTACCAAACCACTCTCCCACCTCATTGAGGGTTTGTGTTTTGTTCTCCTCTGCTTCTTCGATTAAAGTTGTTCGAAGTTGCGTGATCTGCGAACTAACGCTGGAAAAATGTTCCGTTTGGAAAGCGATGACTTGGTGTTGTTGTCGCAGCTCTGACACGAGATGATGATTGGCTTCGATAAACTGATATCGTTGTGTGGCAATCTCGGATTCGAGCTGTGCAACGATCTCCTCATGCTGTCGATTTGCTCGTTCTTCAACATTAGCGATTCTTTGATCATGAGCATATTCGGCAGCCTGGCGGAACCTCTGGTGTCTGTTTTCTGCTTCAATTTCAAGTTCACCGAGAAGCGATCTGGTTTGTTCCGGAGACTCACCGACCATGATGTTTTGCTGGAAATTCTGTCGATACATGTGCAACTGTGGTGCGAACGGTACGGCCGCAAAAGGAGTTCGGGCGTTTGGCTCAAACACATTAGTGCTTGCTGCGCCCTCTTCCAGTGCACCGTTCGTAGCAACTTGCTCAGAAGCAGTCTGAGGTAGTCCCACAGGAAGCATGTCGTCAGATTCCAGGTCGGTTGCCACTTCGGTGGGAACCAGCTCGGGGCTGTCTCCCATACACCAGTGTTTGCCAGAGTAACCAGAGGCGCCGCAGACTCAGTAGAGCCTACGGCTGATAACCTATAGTTTGGGAAATCCACCAATGCAATCCGTTAAGCCATGAAACACAGGCGCACTTCTACCTTTTGTCTCAGAGGGCTTGAGTGCGATAGGTGCAACATACATGAAGGCAAAAGTGGCAAGGAGGTCCGAATATAAAATACAGGGTTTAGGGTTTAGGGTTCAGGGTTCAGGGTTCAGGGTTTGGGGTTTGGGGTTTGGGGTTTGGGGTTTGGGGTTCCAGGGTTTAGGGTTCCAGGGTCTTTGCCTTGTGACAACCCACTCCTGGCCTGATAGACGGCATGGCAGACATCCACCACAGCCTGAACAACATCCGAACACCTACGGCGTAAACCCGAAACCCACCTGAACCGCTACATGCCCCCAACCTCTGAACCCTAAACCCTAAACCGTTTAGAAACTCAACCCTAAAGCTTTTAGGGAATTCAGGCCCTGGGGTTTCGCAAGCCCCTCAGATCCTCAACCCCAAGACTCGAAACCCCCCAAACCCTAGAACGTTAAGTCCCAACAGCCTAAGCCCTAAAATCCTGAAACCCTAAGCCCTAAACCCTAAACCCTAAGCCCTAAGCCCTAAAATCCTGAAACCCTATTGAAGCCAACGAACGCCTAAAGCCGACTACCCAAACCTGGTGCATCCTCTTTGAGTCAGCCCAAGAGCAATAAGCAGAGTCCTAAAACCCTGAACCCTGAACCCTAAACCCTAAACCCTAAACCCTAAACCCCAAACCCCAAACCCTGATCCTAAACCGACCTTCATGACCACCGCAATCCCAAAGCGCTGCATCCAAGGTCTACGCCGGCCCTAAAACCAAGAGGTGTGCAAGAGG